AACGATAAATAAAAAATTAAAAAAATTTTTTTTTTATATAAAATCTTATATTAAAATTTATATTACGGTTAATTAACGGTTAATTAACCGTTAATTATCGGTTAATTAACCGTTAATTATCGGTTAATTAACCAGTTAATTAACCAAATCTTAATTAACCGTTAATTTCCCATCCCTACACGTAATTGATATGAAGCTCCCGATTATCCAAAAAAATTTTAATTTATTCTATTTAATTTTATTTTTATTTTTATTTTTATTTCTTTTTTGAAAATATTTGCAATGGGTAGAAAAAAAAAAACTTTTCATAAACCTTCAATTCAAATCGAAACTGGTAATGATAGATATGATAACCAGGCTGGTAGAATAAAGGCCATAAATACATGGGATGATATTGAACATGATTCCGAAGATGATTGTAATTTATCTTATTAAGCTCACGAGTCATATTTATTAAAATCGAATTCGATTCGATTATATGATATATATTTTAATAATCATTGATCAATTAAATTAGATCATGAAAGGAGAGGAAAAATTTTAATAGATGACAGTCAAAAACAAGGTAATTAATACAATCTTATTCTTTTTTATATTTTTAATAATTCTAACTAATTTATTTTATAGAAGAATCCGAATCATCCGAAGAAGAAGTATTTGCTTTACAAACTAGTGATACATCATCTGAAGAAGACGATGAAAACCAAGAAGACGATTTAATGTCTTCAGACGATATTGATGATGTCGATGATTTTGATTCACAGACTTGGGGTACTCGTAAAATGAATTATTATGATGCGGATGATTTATCTGATTTTGATGAAGCAAAAGAAGAGGAGGAAGAAGCTTTAAGATTGCAAAAGAAAAGGATAAGTAAAATGTCCGAAGAAGATTTCTTTGATGAAGACATTGGATCTGCTTCAAAAAAAGATACGGTAAATAATTCATTCCTTCATTTATTGTATTATTTTTCTTGATTATTTATTTTTTTTAATATAATTAAAATAAAAAATTAGGATAAAGAGAATGAAAAAAAACTCATGGAAAGACTTAACCAAGAGGTTAAAAAAATATCGCTTGAATCCAAAGGGTAGGTAACATCTCGTTATAATCAAATTTCACCAATTAAATTCTTGATATTAATTTCTCTTGATTGGTTAATCAAAAATTTTTTAAGTGAAATCCAACCGGAAATTATGAATAAAGATCATTATTCAAACCTTTCCAGAACCGAAATTATAGAAATATTACAGGATGAATCACCTGAGCTTCTTGAGTTATTAAACGAATTTAAAGAAAAACTTTCGATACTCAAGAATACGTTAACACCTATATTAGAAAAGTAATAAATTTTTTATGGAGTGATATTAAATTTAATTTCATAACTAATATGTTAATATATTGAATTTAGGGCCAAGAAAAGGAACATTAAAGATGATCCAGCCATGAAATTTTTATCTATAAAATATCATACATTGTTTAATTATCTTACCAATATCTCCTTTTACCTTTTCTTGAGATCGTCTGAAACGCGTCATTTACGAACGCATCCTGTAATTGACGCGCTTGTAGACATCAGAACAACTTGGGACAAATTAGAGATCTTAGAAAGTAAAATGGAAGATGTAATTAACGAGTTTATCGATAAGTTAGAAACAGATGAACAAATCGATCAAAATGATATGGCGGTCTCAGGTTTTTAATTTAAGAGTTATTTGTGATTAATTTATATTATGGTTTTTATATTAATACTTTAAATATATGTAGAAGTGTTAGTTGATGAAATAATTAAGCAACCACATAAATCAATTGATTTAAAAGTTAAGAAAGTTAAAACTAAAAAGTCAAAGGAAAAAAATGAATCGATAGAATCCAGCCCTCAGAAAAAATCAGATAAAGAAAAGTCAATAAAGAAAAAAACTAAGGAATCAAATAAGATAAAATCTCAACAATTAGATGAAGTTATGAGCGAAGAAAGTGATAATGAGAACATAGATGATCAACCAAACATTGCGGTTACATTGATTGAACCAGAATTTGTGAGCCTCAAGGGCAAGAAAAAAAAGCGTAAAAGAGTACATAGTTTAATTATTTTTATATATGATATTTATAAATATATATTTATTTATTTATTGATATTTATTCAAATTTAGGAGGATACGGATTTAGGAGATTTGGATGCTTTAGATGATGTGGATGCTAATGATAAGACACAAAAAAGAAAATCACTGCGTCATCATATTGCAAAGATTGATCAGGTTCCTATTTATTTATATATATGTCTAAAAAAAAATTTAAATTAACTAGTATCAACTGAATATAGACTTTAGCTAAGCGCGAAAAGGCGATTCGTCTTAGTGGGGATACTGATATACCTTATAAAGATAAGGATAAGAGTGTTAAACCAGTAAATAATCAGAATGATGGTGACGATTTGGATGATTTAGATTGGAATGATGATGATGAAAAGATAGCAAACGATATTGAAAACGGAGGTGAAGAAGATGCATTCTATTTAACAGTGCAGAAAGCTAAGAAAGCTAAAGAGGAACAAAAGAAATTGGAACACGAACAGTTGGTCAAGAACAATAAGTAAGAAAATATGCTTTTTTTATGTCTGAAAATCATAATGGAAATATTTACATATGCTATAATATCCATAGAGTTGTATATGAAGAAGAAATACTTCCCGATGGTTCTAAACGGCAGATTAATTATCAGATACTCAAGAATAAAGGTCTTATACCACATCGTAAGAAAGAACAACGCAATCCACGCGTAAAGCATCGTAATAGATACGAGAAGGCAAAGAAAAGAATCAAAAGTTTCAAAAGAGTTGTGGTTCAACAAGAAGGATCTTACGGTGGTGAGAAGACTGGTATTAAACCTAAATTGTCAAGAAGCATTAAATTTGGTACGTAAAACTAAATCTTTCTTGTTTATGAATATTTTTTAAATATAATATTAATTATTTGTTTGGACCTCAGAATGAATATTTTTATTTTTGGACATTTAAACTTCATTTATGTTCACATCCCAAAAGGAAAAAAAAGATTTACAATAATAATTGAAATGATGTTAAATATAAAAAATGCATTAAAATATGAAATTCTAATATCTACGTTCGGGTTTGTTTAAATAAACTGATTTTGATTTATTTTAACATTTTATTATTATATCAATTAGCGTAATAAAATCATGTGATGAATAAAGAAAATGAAATTATTATAAGGAGCTTATTTTTGGAAATACTGTATATAGTGTAAATGCTTCTTATAACTTTAGAAAGAAAATCTTTTGAAATAAAATATTAGTATCAAAAAAAAAAAAATGATTTTTGTTTTCTAAATATCAAAAACTATTCTTTTATTAACTGTTTTCTTTCTATATTATGAAATAAGTATTTCTATTTGCAATCTAATAATGCTATCAAATTGTCTTTATAATATAAACATATTGTATGATCTTTATATATTTTTTTATTTAAAAATTTATTATATATGGGTAAAAAAGAGGAAAATCTAAATTTTGATAAAATTTTTTTTATTGATCCACTTGACTAATCACAGTTATGTACTCAAAATTAGCTTAGAAACTAAAATTAATGAAATTTTCAGATTTCTTTCTTTTTTACTGACAAGTTCCCATATATAGAATTATTTATAATTATTAGATACTTTATCATATTAAAAAAATCGCTTTTTTTTCTGTAAATATAACTTTTTTGTTTATAAAAATATCAAAATCTAACTTAATTTTACTGATTTTTTTCATTCTTTTTTTAAATGAAAAAATTTTTCATAAGGAACTAATCAGAATTATTATAAAAGAATTTAAAATAATTAATTTTTCAATTATAAAATTAAACTTATTTATATAAATTCTTTAATTATAAAAATGATATAATTAATTTGATTCAATTCTAATATAATTTATTTTAATTTATAATAAATAATGCTTTTTATTATAATCAAATAAATTTGTCAATCAGATTTTTTATTTTATCAAAGATATTTATTTAAATTATTTTTTAAATATTTAAATTTATATATTTTAATTTATTAATTTATAATAAATATACAGTCAACTCTCTATAAATGCACCCTCTATAAGTGCACACCCTATATAAATGCACCCTATAGCCCGGTCCCA